CTTCTCAGCAAAGAGAGGCTGGATCTTGGCTACGATGAGCAGAGTGTGAGGCAGAGCACACAGGTGTTCAGCTTCAAGCTGACCGTCACCTTGCCCTGGAACCGGAAAAGCTCAAGGAGCTGCCCGGACACCCCAAGGGGCTCCCTGGCGCCCTGTGGCACGTCCTCACCTGCAGGGGCTGGAGCCCAGAGGCTCGAGTGCAGGGAGGGAGTCTGAAGCCTGGGCCTGGCCTTGGAACCCCGAGCTTTACTGCACCTCTGTGCTTTGCCATTGAGATTTTTTTAATCCACTGAGTAGTACGTGACATTTCTGCATCACTCACTGAAACTTCTCAGCTGGGTAAGAGTAATGTGGGTTTTATCCACAGCGACATGGAACTAAATTGGAAGGTTTTTGGACTAGGCTTAGTAGTGTGAAGCTTGTCTGCCTTTTATTCTAAATCATTTGAGGAGTTTATTACAAATAATTTTCTTCCTTTTCAAATAATTGTGTCAGTTCAAAAGTAAATTTTATGATTTTTGTTCTGCTTTTATAAAAATAAGCAAAACTCATTTGAGATTTGGCAGAGTTGGGAGGTGTGTTTCAATGAACGCAATGCATATAATATGGAAACCCTGGAGGGATTGCATGCAAAGTGTTGACTTTGCTGCTGCTCTGAATGGAAAGCAGCCTTGAGTTTGACTGGAACAGAAAGTCTTTGCCTCTGTTTAGGGTGTTGCCTGGCTCACAGCATTCTGAAACGTCATGGGTACAGTGTCCTTGCTCTGCAACGTAAGTGATAATCGCCATAGCTAATGAGGGTTTTGTGGGGGAATGGGAAATCTTGTAGGCTTTTTAAACTTTTTATTATAGATTTCCTTTATAGTCGTAAGAGAGAGCCTAGGGAATAGTTTTTCTCTATTTTCTCCAATGGTCACATCTTGCAAAACTATTACGTAAGCAAGAAACTGCCATGATAGAATCCATGATCTACTGAGAACATGCCAGCTGCACGTGCACGTGTGTGGACGTGAGTCTGTGTGTGATGATGTGTGTCATGTTTGCAGATCTGTGCAAGTTGTGTGCAGATTCATGTCAAGATAAAGGACGGTTCCATCCCCTGAGGGTCCCAGCACCTGATGGCCACTCGTCTGTCTTCCATCTCTGCAATTTTGTTGTTTTGAGTGTTCTGTGAAAGGAATACTTGGCCTTTGAGGCGCTTCTTTCACTCAGCCTTGAGGCATGTCCGGGTTGTTGCATGCATCGAGATACAGAATTTTTTTCTTTTTTTTGAGTCAGAGTTTCACTCTGTCACCCAGGCTGGAGTGCAGTGGCACGCTCCTGGCCACCCCAGCCTCGACCTGCTGGGCTCCGGCGATCCTTCTGCCTCAGCCTTCCAAGTAGCTGGAACTACAGGCACGCCCTACCACACCCAGCTAATTTTTGATTTATTGTAGAGACGAGGTCTTGCCAAGTTGCCCGGGCTGGTCTCGAGCCCGCGGGCTCAGGCATTCCACTTGTCTCGGCCTCCCAAAGTGCTGGGATTACAGACTGAGCCACTGAGCCTGGCCAAGATACAAAAATTTTAAGAGTTCATTATGAAAATACTTTCCAGAAATCCTGAGTGTTTTGATAGTTAAGAAGAGCAATAATCAAATAACACTGAAGCTTACAGATACTAATTTATTCAAGAAGAAACATGCTACAGTTTAGTAGGCTATAGGGTTTTGTAGGCAAAAGGAAATACGTTTGAAAAAGGGATGGTTTGTATCTTTAAAGGTCTGTGAACAATTTCATTTCATGTTCGTGCTATGAGTATGTTTCAGTGGAAAATGCTAGTATTCCACTAAACTTCTCAATGATTTCTCGTAAAAATTAACAGCTCCCTTAGGTGTGGGGTAGAAGGAAGACCAGTGTAGGGACCCTGGTTGCGGAAGGAACCAGAAATGAAGGTAGAGGGGTGTCGTTCACACACAGACTGCCGCGGCGACTTCTCCGAAGCAAGAGATCCACCACTTTCTGAGCTCTCTGGGGGCAGGATGAGAGGCATGAGCGAAGCATCTCGAACGTCTGCTTTGTTCTGGAATATATTAAAAGCACTCTTCTGAAGTAGCCACGGAATTCTCCCTGCACCCCCGAAAAAGGGCAGCTCAGCAACTGAGGGAGTCATTGTGTGGCTGGGTGGGACTGGCCGGCCACTGTTTGTCTTTGAGGTGGCAACGCCGGGCAAGCTGGAACAGAACTCTGCCCCCGCCCTTTGTGGGTGAGTAGCTGCTCCAGGAAGAAGTTCCCAGCTGCTGGCTGCTCCGGGAACCGCCCTCTCCAAGAAGGCTTTGAAACCCAGTGTTGCTTTCTAGCCAGAGTAGTCTCGCGGTGACTTCTGGTTGTCGCTCTGAGCAGGGGCTGCCCTGTTGTCCCACACGGTGCCATTTTGAGGCCCCCCGGAGTGTGTGCCCTGGCTGTCGTCTGGCTGCAGGCTTCCTGAAGTCTTGTTTGTTTTTGAGGTCTGCTTGACTTTTTCTGGGGCTTGGTCAGAATGCTGTCTCCAGAAACACTGCTCGAATAATCTGTTTTGCTTGGGAAGGCAGATGAAAGTTACTAGGGTTGAGGTTAGTGGTGAGATTGAAGCGTAGGTGTGTATGTTGGTAGCCAGATCCCCGGTGGGGGAGTGGGATTCTTCACCGACATCTGCGGGGAGCCGCCTTGAGGAACGGACAGAGCGTGTACGCTGGTGCTCTGCTGCCACTTCCTTTAGACTCAGAGTCCTGGGCGAGTGGTCGGTATTGGCTTTGTTTTCTTTCTGCCTCGGCTGCGTGTGACCGGTGAGCTACTGGCCAGATTCCATGGCTGTTCTTCGAGCGCTCCTCCCCTGACCTCTGTTGGGCCCTTGCTGCCTCCGCCCCCAGTCTCTGTCTTCCAGCCTCTGCAATGGCTCTTTCTTGGTGCCCATGGCTGCTGCCTCCACCTGCTCCTTCAGCCGTGCTCCCGTCAGGTTCGGCCTGCCTTCTGCCTGTCTCCAGCAGGACGCGTAGTTGCGGCCCCACCCAGCCTCCCTTCCTTACCCAAGTGGCATGTTCAGAAAGCAGGTTCTGGGTTGTACCTGTCAGGATAAGCAGTGTGTGTTGTTTCAGGTCATCCTAAGGAAAGGAAGAGACGGAGACTGAATTTGGATCATGGAAAATGTTTGGAAATTTAATAAAGCCCTGGAGATCCAGGTATGGTTATATTTTGGGGATTTGAAAAATACATCTCTTGTGTCTCATTAGCATTGAACTGTAGACCGATTCTGGATTTGGCAAAGTTCCAGGCGATTTTAGGAAGCCAGCAAAGTGGCAGGGCACATGGAGAGCGGCTCAGAAGGCTTCATATCTGGAGTGACACTGGGCATGGTCCTCAGGCAGCCGCTGACCTGGGAGGGGGAGGCCGTGAGGTTTTCGGGGCCTCGATGCGCAGACCTGCTTAAATAGACTTGGTTTTTGTCTTTTGCACACGGGAGAGTTGGCAGACGTGAGGCTAAGTTTTCTTTTAAAAAATCGCCTTTAAATTTTTCTGTTTAGGTGTAACTAGCCTTTAAGCTCAGCCCTTCACCAGGTGGCAGAAAAGGTGCATCAACGTTCAGCATTTGATTTTAATCTAGATGCAGTAGATCGATGAGCTGTTGATGTTAACTGGGAAAAATGCTGTTTTCTTCAGAAAGGTGGCAGTTTTTTGGATCTGATCGATACTTGAGCTCTGACGTCAGCTGGGACGAGTCATTGTCTAGCTCTGTGTGACAGCACGTCTCTTTTCCAGCTGAACATGTGTGTCTAAGATGCACGCTCAGCGCAGCAGGAGCCCGTGGACCATCTCGCCCCGCACCAACGGCCTGGACCATGAAGGTGCTGGGGACACACGTCCTCTGGATGCTGCTCCCGATCCTGCCTTGGGTGGTGCGCGCGGCCGAGCACGAGGAGGTGGCCAAGCATGCCATCAAGCTGCACCGGGGGCGGGGGGCGGCCGCTACACAGCGGGGGCAGTGGGTCCTGGACGGCTGCCGGAGGCTCTCTGGGCTGCTCCGCCAGAAGAGTGTGGTTCTCAACAAACTGAAGAGCGCCATCCGCGCGGTGGAGAGAGACGCCAGTCTGTCGGATGAGGAGAAGCTCTTCCAGGTGCACACGTTCGAGATTTTCCAGAAGGAGCTGAACGAGAGCGAGAACTCCGTGTTCCAGGCCATCCATGGACTGCAGCGAGCCCTGCAGGGGGACTACCGAGATGTCGTGAACATGAAGGAGAGCAGCCGGCAGCGCCTGGAGGCCCTGAGGGAGGCCGCCATCAAGGTCAGTCCCCGGCGCCTGCGAGCTGCGCAGGACGGCCTGCTGCTTCTCAGCGACTGCCGTGCAAACCCACCGGGAAGCTCGCGAGGAGGAAGCTGTCCTTGTGGTGATGGCGCCATTGCCCCTTCCAGGAGGAGCCGGGCTGTTTCTCTCTTTGTGTCTTTAGAGATGTGGTCTCGACATGCTGCCCAGGCTGGTCCCCAGCTCTCGGGCACAAGCAGTCCTCCCAGCTCGGCCTCCCAAAGTGCTGGGATGACAGGTGTGAGCCACCACTCCCAGCCGAGCCAGTCTAATGCTTTTCTCCATTGGGGGAAATCCCTGGGTAATTCAGAAAGTTGTTCAAGAAGTCTTAGTAAATTCATGCAGAAACCAGTATAATTTGTAACTTTGGTCAATATTTTGCCACGTTTCTGACAGACATGTCTTCTGGTGTGAAGTTTGACTTTCTTCAATGACCATACACTAAAATAATGTTAATTTTAAACAAAGGTATACAATTAAGGTAGTAACTTAAGGACTTTGACTAAGTGTCCTTTTAAAATGATAAGTTTCTGGCAGTATAGTATACAGTGTGGTATTATTGTATTACTTTTTTTTTTTGAGTTGGAGTCTCACTCTATAGCCCAGACAAGAGCGCAGCGGCACACTGCTCCCGGCCACCGCAGCCTCGACCTGCTGGGCTCCGGCCATCCTTCCGCCTCAGCCTTCCAAGTAGCCGGAACTATAGGCCTGGGCTACCATGCCTGGCTAGTTTTTGATTTATTGTAGAGACGCGGTCTCGCCAAGTTGCCCAGGTGGATCTCGAACCCACAGGCTCTGGCAGTCCACTCGTCTCAGCCCCCCAAAGTGCTGGGATTACAGGCTGAGCCACCGAGCCTGGCCTGTATTACTTTTTTTTTGAGTTGGAGTCTCACTCTGTCACCCAGACTGGAGTGCAGTGGCCGCTCCCGGCCACCACAGCCTCGACCTGCTGGGCTCCGGCGATCCTTCCACCTCAGCCTTCCAAGTAGCTGGAGCTACAGGCACACGCTACCACACCCAGCTAATTTTTTTTTTGATTTATTGTAGAGATGAGGTCTCGCCTGCCCAGGTGGGTCTCGAACCCGTGGGCTCAGGCAATCCACTCACCTCAGCCTCCCAAAGCGCGGGATTACAGGCTGAGCCACTGAGCCCGGCTATATTACTTTTTTAAAAGGCATTTCTGGAGTATCTGGTGTATGCTAGCACAGTGTTGGACCTTTTAAATATATAAAGTATCATTTCATCTTCATAGAAAAATCCATGGTAGATTTTGTTTTCTATTTTATAATAAAACAACCACACAGCTTAAAAAGTAGACATAAGCCGGGCACAGTGGCTCACACCTGTAATCCCAGCACTTTGGGAGGCTGAGGCAGAAGGATTGTCTGAGCCCAGGAGATAGAGGCTACGTGAACGTGCCACTGCACTCCAGCCTGGGTGACAGAGTGAGACTGACTCAAAGAAAAGAAAAAAAGAAAAGTAGAGAAAATATACATGTATTAAATTTTTTTTTTACCAAAATGTGATTTTTTTAGGTTGAAATAGGACCATCAGGAAAGTGTCTGAATCGAGTTTTCAGTAATGCACACCCATCTCCTTGCGTGTGTGCCCCTGTGACTGCCATCACGAGTTAGAAACAGACCACAGTGCTCTCTTTGGTCAGATATTACTCTCTTACAAGATCTTTTGGACAGCTGAGATATTAGGACTCCTTGGTGTGGTGCAGATTTGTGCTTTTATTATAAAATAAAAAATAAACATTAGTCTGATTAACATAGGCGCTAATATGCATAGCGTATAGGTGTGTAATGCAGTATTTCGGCTTACACTAGTTCTAACCTCTGTTTCTAGACTCTCCAAGCATGGTGATCTACAAGTGTGAGTTAGACTTGTAGCTGTGAGCTTGGCCTGCATCCATTAGCTAGACCTGCAGGTGTGAACTAGGCCTGCAGGTGTGAGCTAGACCTGCAGATGTGAGCTAGACCTGCAGGTGTGAACTAGGCCTGCAGGTGTGAGTTAGACCTGCACATGTGAGCTAGGCCTGCAGGTGTGCGTCAGAAGCATCAGCAGGTGCTGTGTGATTACTTGGGGGCGATGCAGCCCAAGTGTCTGGGCGTGGGCTGTTGCTGCTCTGTCCTAACTCTGTTCTGCTCCTTTGGATGTGAATAAATACTTAAAAGTAAGGTTACTGATTAAACACGATCAGCTGGAACACATTCTAAATTCGACCACCAATACTGCCCATCAGCTTTACGGATTATTAGTGCTGTCAGAGTCCATATGTCCTTTGGATCAATTTTCTCTTTGTAGCTGGAATTTAACTGTGGGCATCCTGCTTAGCAGCTTCACAGCCAGTGTTCAAGTACACATCTGTTTTTAAAGTCCAGCTGTGCCCCACACCCATGGTAGGCACTGTGCTGAAACAGAGTGGGTTTTGAGTAGATGCTTCTGTATGAGCCCTTGACCTGCAGGTGTCACATTTGCTTTTGCGTGGCAGATGTGTGGCGTATCTGTTGAAGTGTGTGCATCAATAGCTGTCTCTAACTATTTTGCTAAGCTCAGTTAGGTCTGAACAGCTAGGACACCAAGCTTCCCAGCAGACTGGAGTTAGACCGGTTCGCCTGTGAATGGGCCTTCGGACGGAGCGTGGGTGGGTAAATGCATGTAAGATAGTCTGTCCTGGTTACTTCTAACACGTCTCGCTCTTCATTTCTTCCCCACGGATAGGAAGAGACAGAATATGTGGAACTTCTGGCAGCAGAAAAGCATCAGGCCGAAGCCCTCAAAAACATGCAGCATCAGAACAAAAGCTTGTCCATGCTGGACGAGATCCTCGAAGACGTACGCAAGGCAGCAGACCGCTTAGAGGAGGAGATAGAGGAACATGCTTTTGACGACAACAAATCTGTAAGCGGCATTCTGGCACAACTTGGTTTCCCCCACCAGGCGCCTCACTCGCCGGACAGTGTGGGGTGGGAGTTGTTCACGTGTGAATTTTTCACATAGGTTGAAAATGACACACACTGAAACACTTCTGTGTCAGAGAGAAAATGACCTGGTCTCGTAGAAGGGAGGCAGTCATCCCTTATTTTCTTTTTTCTTAACAACTGTCAGTCCCCCTCCTTAGTGGACGGGGATTCTGGTGTCCAGAAAGCCCAGACAAGTGGGGTGAATGCCTGTCTGCTTGGGTGAGGAACTCCTGGCAGATGAGTTTTGCATCTCTGCAGCATTTCAGGCTGCTCGCCTGTTGTCATGGTTACGGTTCAAGAAAAAATATGGAGATGGATGCCAGACATTGATTATGGGTCTCGTGGACTCCCATCAGGGTTAGACAATAAAAACAAATGCGAGTAAGGTGAGAGAAGAAGGGTTTGGAAAGAATAAAAATAGAGCAGAGGAAATGGGATGTTTTAAAAACATACTGAGTGTAGAACGAGAGGACTCAGAAGTGTTTTGAGGGCTTTGAGTTGCTGAAAGACTACGCCCTGAACCAGGGAAAGTAGATGTTTGGAAGTAGCAGAAATCCTAAACCTTCTTATCCTTAAATTACTTCTTTAATTGAAAAAAAAAGTCCTAATTTGGGCTTTGTCACATTTGCTAGAACACTAAAAACATTTCTGTTGTTCTTCTGTTTGGCATTCACTGTACAAAAGTTGAGTTTGAAGGAATTTAATTGATTGAATTGCATAGTGTTGGCTGTCTTCCAGGTCAGAGGGGTCAACTTCGAGGCGGTTCTGAGGGTGGAGGAGGAAGAGGCCAACCCTCGGCCCAACCTCACGAGGCCGGAGGTGGAGGAAGGCCTGGGCCTCAGCATGCTGATCGACTCCCAGAACAACCAGTACATTCTGACCAAGCCCCGCGACTCCACCATCCCACGGGCGGACCCCCACTTCATCAAGGTAGCGCCTTGCCTGGGGGCGGCCCCGCCGCCACCGCCCTGGCGTCCTGTGTGAGCATGAACCTTCTCTTCTGCATGTGAGGTTGGGGTGTACAGCCTTCCTTCCGACAGAGAGATCCTGCTAGAATTCCCCACGTTTCCTGCGATCGAGACATCCTCTCTCAATTTCTTTTTTTTTTTTGCTTTTGCTGAAAGAATAAGACATCTTAATACTTAAAATGGAAGTTAATTTTGTTTTGGAGAATTTGGGTGGCTTTTGGAAACTGGGGCTTCGGCTATCCAAAACTCATTTTCCCTAAAATAAAAAAGCCCTTAGAAGGCAGAGAGGGCTTACTCTTCTAGCCGTGGCATGCGGAGTGTAAGGACCCCTTCAGCTGTGCCTGGCTTTCCACGTAGAGCCGGTTCAGTCCTGTGTCCCCCAGGAAGCCAGGCCAGAAAGGCTGTGCAGTGGAGGGCTTGCAGCTGAGGGCGCCGCGGCGCACGGTGCTCCCTCTGGAGAGCTGGCCTGGCATTTGGGTGCAATCTTGGGAAGCTTGCAAGGTCTGGTGACTTGTCAGGCCTCCAGAAAGTACTGGAAGTTTGCACGGGAGCAGAGACCAGGCCGGAGAGCCTGGGCTTGAAGGTGGTGCCACCAGGCTGAGTGGAGAGACCCATGGTACCCAAGGGCTCCCCGGGTGCTGAACCTGTGTCGATGGAATCAAGCCAAGCGCCGTCCTGCTGGTCTTGGCTTTGAGGACTGGGCGCTGGGCGGGGAGAGGCTGCAGACTGACGGTGTCAGTGCCCTCTTTCAGGAGTGGGTCTGCCTGGTGCGGTTGTCCTCATCTCCCTTCGTAACGAATAAGTCATTTCTGGGAAGTGTTTTGAGACGTGACTGTCCTGTCCATCAGTCTTTCCCGCAATGTCACCTGCTAGTGATAATTGCCTGCACAGTCACTGCAGTCGTGTGGTGAGAACCCTGGGAGTGGCGACCCGGACACCAGCTCTGAAGGCTCCAGAGCACTCGACAGAACATGGGAGAGTCTCATGGGCTCGAGCAAGACAAAAGCAATCCTGTTGTCCGGTCAGCATCTAGTCCCTGGTCCGCGTGCTTGAATCAATCACCTGCAAATGGAAAGTACTCAGGAAGGCTGGGCGTGGTGGCTCAAGCCTGTAATCCCAGCACTTTGGGAGGCCAAGCTAAGAGGATTGCCTGAGACCAGGGGTTTGAGACCAGCCTGGGAACCTGGAGAGACCTCGTGTCCACAATAAATCAGAAACATTAGCTGGGCATGGTAGTGCATGCCTGTAGTTCCAACTAATTGGAAGGCTGAGGCCAAAGGATCCCCTGAGTCCAGTAGTTCGAGGCTGCGGTGGCTGTGAGCGTGCCACTACATTCCAGCCTGGGTGACAGAGTGAGATGAGACTCTAACTCAAAAAAAAAAAAAAGAAAATACTCATGGAAACAGCAAGAGCCACCTTGCAGTAAGATGCACATCACAGCTATATACATCGAATTGACACCCATCAGGCACTATAAGCAAGCTAGAAGTGATTCAGGGTACATGGGGAGTGTGCTCGGGTTCCATGGAAACACCGCGCCACCTTTATAGGAGTTGAGCATCCAAGCATGCTGGTTTGGGCGTGGGGCGGGTCAAGGAGCCCACCCCTAGGATCCTGGGGGCTAGCTGTCGTTAGGCGGTGACAGACTGACTTTCCCTGCCCAGAATACACTTACTTTTGAGCTTCTCTTGGCCTCCGCAGCGGCGAAAGTCTCTTCTCAGTTCCGCCCCCTCCCCTCCATCCTGTCAGGTGCGCTCGGGGCCTGTGTCATCTGTCCTGCCATCTCAGCCAGCCAGCCTTTTCTCACCCCTGGAATCCTGAGTTCCTGTGTTTCTGTTTGTTCCCTTGCATCAGGACATTGTCACCATAGGAATGCTGTCCTTGCCGTGCGGCTGGCTCTGCACGACAATAGGGCTGCCGACCATGTTTGGGTATATCATCTGTGGTGTGCTCCTGGGACCGTCAGGACTGAACAGCATTAAGGTAAGAGCAGAGTCCAACAGTTTCCATGACTGTCTGGTAGCTTACAAAAGAAGCATTCATGAAGACTAAAAAGTGTTGAATTTGAGCGAACGAAGACACCGGCTTCTCACAAGCCATGCCGAAGGCGTCCTTTTGAGTTTCATGAGAAATATTGAAACCACAGGATGCCATTTTGTTTGTTCACAGAGAGGTGGCCTAACTGGAGGAAACAGCCCAGTTCGCTGTGTTAAGTTATAGGAGTTTCAGAGATTCCGTTTCCAAGATTGTGAGAGACCAGATTATTCAGAACACCTTTTGCGCACTGCAAGAACTAAAAGTGCCACGTTCAGTGCATTTGTAGCACTTCCTGGTGCATGGAAACGCTGATCGAAAGCCCGGTTGCGAGGCAGGGAACAGCAAGCGGAGGGCTGAGCAAGTCCGCAGGAGCCCTGTCCCACGCTGGCAGGAGGAGGGGTCCCCTGGGTTCCGTGGGCTACATGCACAGTTGTGGGCAATGCTGAGAGCAGCTGAGTCCCTCCCGGGAGGCGGGGCAGGGAGGGCGTGGCCTCACTCCCTGCAGCCTCCCTTGCGGCTGGTCACCACGTCGGACCAGCTCGGGGAGCCCCTGCTCCCCAGGCTGCAGAACGGCCGAAGGGCCTGGAGCGGCCCTCGCGCAGGCTCATCTGAACAGCACGTTAGCGCCAGCCAGGTGGAGAGTGTGGCCCTCTACCTCGGGTGGCCGGTAGGAGGACTGCAGCCCCGCGCAGGGCGTGCCCGGCGGCTGCTGGTTTCGGGAGGAGATGATTTTCATACGATACAGACTTGGAAGCCAGAGAGAAGCGCCTCTTCCTGCCGTGCCTCACTTCTCCCTCCCAGAGCATTTGCAGATAGAAACAGGCACACCTTATCCTCTCTCCCTTCTTTTTTCTTTTTGTGAGTTGGAGTCTCACTCCATCACCCAAGCTGGAGTGCAGTGGCATGCCCACGGCCACCCTAGTCTCGACCTGCTGGCTTCTGGCGATCCTTCTGCTTCAGCCTTCCAAGTAGCCGAGACTACCACGCCGGCTAATTTTTGATTGATTGTAGAGACGAGGTCTCACCAAGTTGTCCAGGCTGGTCTCGAACCCATGGGCTCAGGCCGTCCTCTTGCCTTGGCCTCCCAAAGTGCTGGAATGACAGGCTGAGCCACCGAGCCTGGCCTCGTCTTTCCTTTTTCAACAGCAAAGGCACTCATAAACAAAGAATTAAGGCTAAACCATTGGGTAATACATACAACTGGCTGCTGTCCATGCTGGAGTTGGTAATAGATCAACTTTACTATGGAAACATAAAGTAACTATAAATGGACCGAGATGAAAGTCCAAGGGCATGCCAGCCAGAAGTGGGAAGTGGTTCACCGGAGAGGTGTGCCAAGTGGGCTCTTCTGAGTGTTCCCACTGAGTGTATTCGGATGTGGTTGCTCGGTTACGTGCAGTATGTCACACACATGACGTCACATGGCTTAACATTTGTCTTTGTTTTCCAGTCTATTGTACAGGTGGAGACGTTAGGAGAATTTGGGGTGTTTTTTACCCTCTTCCTTGTTGGCTTAGAATTTTCCCCGGAAAAGCTGAGAAAGGTAAGGGCTTCGCAGGGCTGTCGTCGCCTCTGGTAACTTCCTGTCGTGTGGTTTTGGTTTCTACATTTGTAGCACTTGCTGGCGAGTTGGCGATCAAATTAAATGTTTTGGAATAGAATACGGTATTTCGATTTGATGTTATTTTTGGGATATACACTCAAAAAGATAATAAAAAGATTTGAAGAAGTGGCAGTTCAGTGAATAACTGGAACTTGCTTTCTTGTGGCTAATTTCCGAAGTGGTCTGAGAAGTGATCTCTCTGGACTTTAGTAGATGGATCCCTCCAGAAGGTGCACAACTGTTAAAATAGCATAAAAACTGAAATACGGCTGGGCTCGGTGACTCAGCCTGTAATCCCAGCGCTTTGGGAGGCCGAGGTGAGTGGATTGCCTGAGCCCATGGGTTCGAGACCCGCCTGGGCAACTTGGTGAATTCAGGAAAAGGTACTCTGTATTTCAGCAGACACCGAAAATGACTGATTAAAAGCAGGGGCGGGGGGATAAAGTGAACGCTGCTGGAAACAGAAATCCCCTGTGAATTAAAGGCAGGTACCATTCTGCCTACAGTGCTAACGTCAAGACGGCAGGCACGTTCACGTGCTGACGAGGGGTGCTGAAGCCGGGTGGTGATGGGTGGTGTGAGCACGGGGCACCCCGCCCGGGGAGCACTAGCAGTAAGTACGCAGTCTGACGGCGGAGCCTACAGACGTCCATGTGCCTTGGTCCTGTAACTCTAGAGCTCTTTCGGAAGGAAAGTATACAAAAAATTGACCCACAGATTTTTAGCCGCTTGTGTGACATGTCTAAGAAAGACTGGCTGAACTGGGACCTGACCGCTTGATGCACTGTTAAGTAGCCATCAAAGTATTACAAGGACGTGTCTTGACGAGAATGTTTGTTGTAAGGCTGAACCTAGAAAAGACCAGATGGCGTGACTGACCACAACCGTCTAGGAGCCGCACAAGCCCATGGGAGAACGGGAAGCAGGTGTGCCACGTAACCACGGATGCTCCCAGTTTCTCTTGCTTGTTGTTCGAACTTTCTGTCATATTTGGCATCAACTTTGCTACGCCAGGAAAGCTTTTTTGTGAGGTCTTGGGCCAGCCTTCAGGAGCGCCCACGCGGTGCCCGACGCCGTCGTTGCACCCTCTTCCTGTCTGGCCTGGGCTCCTCCTGTCATGTGGGCCTTGTCTTTCTCAACCCCCTGTCAGTGTCTCTGCCGTGACACTCCCTTCTCTGAACACCCAAAAGGCGCCTCCCCTCTGGGCATTCTGGTCCTCATTCCTCCAGGCATTTCTGTGTCTTTCTGGTGTGAGCCCTGTCTGTCTGTTTCTGAGCTGGAAGAGGAGGGAATGTTGGCCATTTCTTGCCCATTCTGCTGTGAATGCTGCCAGGTGGGCGCGGTGGGTGGAAGGGAGGCCGGGCGGGCTGTGACCCAGGCCTGCTGGTATAGTGACCCCAGCTGGCTACATAAGACATGGGGCCTCTGTTCCATAGGGCAGTGGGTTCAGCTGGGCTCTCGTGTGTGCTCGATTGAGACATGTTCACAGCAGACGATGAGGAAGAGCCCTGGGCAGGGGGCGGGGGTTCAGGCTCAGCTCTGCCGTCCCCGTTCACATCTACGGGCCTCTCACAGGCTGCTTTAGCCCTGGCGACATCTCCTCACCATGCGGCGAGGAATTTGGGATTTTCATACTTGCTATTTTCCTCCACTGTAGTGGTTATAGTTAAATAATGAATAGTGCTGTGCAACTTGATGTGAATGTTATAATCTTAAAGAGAAAAGCAGTGTATCCGGCAGTGTTGCACCCTAAATCGTGCCTTTGAGGGTGTGTGCCCATGAATGTATGCCAGGGTGTCCTTGGCCGGGGTGGCCTCGGAGGCCTGAGGAATGGTGTGTCTGCATGAATTGGTGGGCTTGGCTGGGCTCAGGAGTGGAGCGTGGGCCGAACGCTGGGCAGGGACTTAGGCGGCCACGTGTGAAAACTCCTTGCTGGCTCCCGTGTGGCGACGTGGGTGATGTTTCTCGTGGGGGCGCACCGGGGTCTGACCCGGGCTTGAGCCTTTGCTGCGGCCTCTGGGGTGGCCCTGGGGCCTGGCGCGCTCCGCTCCTCGGTCTGCCGGCTCCATTAAGCCCTTCGTTTTCCTTCTGTGCGACTCGGGTGTAAACGGAGCTTTGGAGCAGCCTGGGAGGACCAGGGCAGTTGTTCTGACCTGGGTGGGTCCCTTGCGGGTGGGGAGGGGCTGCCCCTAAGTCTGGAGAGACCCCCAGGACTGTGGGAAATGTGA